GCTTGAGGGCCTGGGCCTGGGGGGGTGGACGTTAGCAGACAGGCATCAGGAGGGGCGTCCAGACACGCTAGGCCTTCCTGAGAGGTGGTGCCACAGACCACGTGCACAGAGCAGCAGGCGGTGAGGCCGGTGGACTCGCTTCCGCTGGAGGGCCTGCCTCCTCCCGCCTCCCACCTCCCCTCCCCCTCCTGCTCTGTGGCCCTGACCCGTGCTGGGTCCTTACTTGCATGTGGGGAGCACAGCACCACTTCCTCGAGGCTCGCCTGGTGTCCCAGCAGCGGGTACCTCCGAGGGCCCACGGGGCATCTTCAAGGAGGGCCTGGAGCCAGCCTCAAAGCACGCTGAGGAGCAGGGTGCTGTCCCCTCGGGCTCTTTCGGATCCCCAGCCCGAGGTGCGCCATCACCCAGGGCCTGAGTGCCAGGACACCGGGGATCTGAGCAGGGCTGGGCTGCGGTCAGATAAGGGTGTCAGGAGAGGGTATACAGGGAGGGGTGTGCAGGAAAGAGGGCCTGCAGGCAAGGGAGTGTGCAGGGAAGGCCATGCAGGGAAGAGGGTGCAGGAGAGAGGGGGTGCAGGGAAGAGGGGGCACAAGGGAGGGCATTTGCTGTCTCCTGTGCTCCTGTCCTGGCAGTCTGGCTTTGATTACGTTGGCAGGGGTGTGGTCTGAGCTTGGCAGGGTGAGGCCCGCCCTGCATGGGTGACAGCAGGGCCAGGGCTCAAGGAAACCCCTGTCTGACCTGTGGGCAACACCCGCCACCTGGCATCGGGCCCGAGTTCCAGGTCAGTCCGGGCAATCTGGGGGTGTTGGTGGTGACCGGAGAAGATGCCACCTGCTCCTCACCTGTGCTCAGAGCCGGGAGCCTGATGCTACGGTCCACAGAAACCGCGGCCCCTTGACTCGCTCACCCATTTGGGGGTTTGTGCCCGGGAGGTGGGCGGGGGAGAGCTACGGAGCCTGCTGGGGGCCACACTCTTGGCTGGGGGTTTCTGAACCCTCTCCTGCCACACACATACAGGCCAGGGGTCCGAGGGGCATGGAGCTGCTCACTCAGGCCCCAGGGAGCCACCTGGCACGACTGCCCGCTTCTGGGTGGCGACTGTGTCTGGGGGAGGACTACACGGCCCAGCACATTCTCCTCACCATGCGCAGGACGGCCCTGGCAGTGGTGTCCTCACCGAGGCCCCATGCTGTGCCGGGAGCCTGCCCCTCTGAGCGCACGCATGCACACACGCCCTGCTCGGAGGGAAGCCAGGCCCGGTGGGCTGGGGTGGCCCCGGAGGAAGGAGCCGCCTGACTCAGTCACAGGAAGCGGCGGCGGGTGGGGCCGGCACCACCGGCGGCCCCCCCCCCGCCGGGGGGGGGGGGGG